CATGAATCCTTTTATTAATATTGAGAAAGCTAAGGTTCAGATTCAGGAGGAAATAGTCGAATTCTCAACTAATAGAACTTTGAAAGCCAGCTTCCAGAATGGTGATCGCCTACCAGAATTTTGGCTTTAAAGTAGCATCAGTCTCCTCTACCTAGGCTTGTGGACTATCGTCAAAAACTTTTTAATTACCTTCCCTTCCTCCTACCTTATTCAGCGAGGATTCATTGCTGTGACGACTGATTGAAGGTAAAATTATATTTCAGGGTACTCCTTGGCGAAAATTCTAGATTTTTTGACACCATTCCTGTTTATGTCCAACGCCCTCCCCAGTAAAATGTCATCCAAAACATAATGCAATAAAACATAATTAAAACAAAAAATATATAATCTCAGTAAACTGCATTTTAAATCAGTAAACTGAATTTTAAATTAAGAAGGAAATAAACATAAGAATGGAAATACATGTTATCTAATCTACGCTGTACAAAAGGAGACTTGTACTTATACTATATATCAACTTACCTTATTTAAAAAATTGTGTTCTTTTGATGTATGTGATACCCAGAATTCCTTAATAGCATCCCAAAACTATTAAAAATTATCTAAACTAGAATCTCTGTATACTGCCATCACCACATTAATTCACAAAAGTAAAAATGAGAAATATCCTCCGGACTGTTGGTAGCATTTCTTTCGAAAATCCCTTTTTATTGCCCCCCACATACCTTCCATGATATGTGTGTTGCTATGAGCTCTTGTTTCAAAATCGTTCCAAAACATACAAAAGCTTATTCGTACCACCAGCAGGCATTTTATGATGTAAAGCACAAAATAAACAACATACTCCCTATCCAACATCCATACCTGAGTAAACCCTTACAAATATTTTCCCCAACAGTCAAAATCAGCGCAATCACACATCATAACCAATCACGTCATAACAGGATTTCCGTAACATTCAACTACTCAGGATGGGATAAATGAAACAATTTGACAATAATCCAAGGGGTACCCTTAAATATAGACTAACCCTGATCTAATTACAAAAAAGAAAAGTCAACTCCAAATCGTGAAAAGAGGGAACTTGTACCTTCATGTTTCTATGTCTCTAAAAATATTAAATCGAGTGTTCAAAACCTGGCTCTGGAATATCAAGCGCAAATATCCCACAGATCGCACTTGATTTTTTCAGTGATTGATCGTTGATTTCATTTTTTAATTGCTCGTTTAAAGTATTTTTTGCTGTTCTTTTTTTAATTATATAATTAAGAATAAAGATTTTTTTAAAGAAAGAACATTTACAATTTTTTTTATTAGTCATTTTAGTTTTAACCAATGAAATATAATTACATTCCAGGGCAAACCTATCCAGTTAAAACGAACAAATTTGGTTTGTAAGTCTACTGAAAAATATTAACTTTTTCACTCCTTAGGTAGGTGGCAGCTTTAAAAAGGTTGAGAATCATCGTTATAGAGGAACATGTAATAAAATAAAAAGGAAGAGGGAAAAAGAATTAATTGTATGTTCCAAACTTGACATTTTCTGAAAAAGAATATGCCTGATAAACTATTGAATTATCTGAAAAGTTCTGTAGGTTTTGATGATAAATGCAAATGAAGGCATACAAAAAAAAAAAAAAAAAAAAAAAACAATATTTCATTGAATCATATGAATACCATTTTGTTTTTATGACTTTTTACCTTCTATCCAACAGCTGGAAACCTCCTTCTTTAAAAAAGATGAAAGATGTTCCATTGGTGAAAAATGTTTCAGGTTTGCTCTTTGACCATCTCCAAACACATGAACTCTACACCATTTAGAGAATTTTGATGTGACTTGAAGATATGAAAATCCAAGTCTGATGAAATGTAGGGAGTAATACAAGACATCCCAGTCTTACTCAATGTCCTTATCTGATACTTATTGAAATGTAAAGCTAAGTATTATCAAGGCGGATGACTCCTCAAGATCTTATCAGTTCTCGGACTTTGCTTTGGTTTCTGTTTTTAAAACTGTCATTTGAGAATAGTACTTGGCTAAAGTGCAGAATCGCCCACTTATTTGTTTGGTGCTTTTTACAAGAGTGAGAAGAATTGGATTTTTGTCAATTTTCTTTGACTTTTTAAGTGAAAATAGGTCGATGTGTAAATGGATACTGAGTATGTGCAATTCTTAAAAATGTCCCAAGCAGTGGGCGATTCTGCTCTTTCCCCTAGTACTTTTCCAAATTTATTTTCTAATTTGGTGGTAACAATTCATAGTAGGCAATTTCTTTGCATTCTCACCATACACAAACCATTACATTTTTGGGATGCAGTTCCCCTATCTCTTTTTTTTTTTTTTTTAATTCATTACTCCATGATCTTTTACTTGTAAGATTATTGTATAGTATCTACTTCTCTCAACTTCAGTAATGAGCTGTTTTGAAAAAGTAGCTTCCTTGTTTCTTTACAGCAGGGAATCCTGTGTAAAAACTCAAGCAAACTATTCTGCTCTAAAATTTCTGCTTTTCTCAAACCACCTTCGAACTTTGCCATCAGATACAGTACTTTGTTCATATGAGGCAAAAATTTTACAAATAGTCTGACTTATGTTTTCCTTTCTTTTTTTTTTTTTTTTTTTTTAATAAAAGAGTGTAATATTAAGAAACTAAATTTTTGATTTCTGCATTCTCAGCATTACATTGAAAAACAATTACTTCACAACTGAAGCTAGAATTACCCAATGCAAGCAGAAATCTACTGTATTTTAACATCCATCAAGGCGACTCCTCATCAGCAGAAACAAAATAATAGAGGAAAATAGAAGTGTGATTTGAAAAGCCATAAAACTTTTCAGATGACTCAATATCTTTTACCAATTATCTCAAATCATTTTAAATTATATTAGAAGAATTTTATATATCTTGCTTGCTATGTTCACTTGCCATGTAGCTATGCTATATTTTCCTTTCGAAATAGTTTAAATTATGTGAGATGTTCTATATACTATTATTATAAATTCTTTGTTAAATGATTTTGAATTGCTGTAGACAAATCTGCTGATCAGATTTTATGGTAATAAGAAGCTGATTGAAGTAAGCTGCATTTGACTTAATCCCATTTATAATGAGTTTATCAGGACATAACTCTATTTTAAATTTAGTGACACTTATATATATATAATTATTATTTATTTAATATTATATGATGAAGTTTATTGTTTTATGTGGAAAACATTTCATCATGTTGAGGTAACAAAAAAATTTTTTTTTTTTTAAATACAAAGTAAGAAATTTGGTATAATAAATATATAATATGCACATAAAATTATGTTTTAGAATAGGAAAAATTTGGAGTTATAGTTCAACCATTGAAAGTGCAACTTTGATTAGCATTCCGCCAAAACTCTTAGTGTCATCCAGAAGAGGTGTTAATCGCTACACAGATAAGATGATGTAGACATGAGAGCCCTCTCCTTGCCGTGTATAATTACTTATCTTTCATTTCTTTGAGTCATCTTCATCAGCATTTGAAAAAAGATACAGTTGCTATAATGCAATAAGGCTATGCCCAGGAGCCCACTACAATTGAACATTAGTTCGCATAGAAGTAGAAATGAACATTGAGATTCACATTCTTTTGTAGCCTGAGGGACAAGAATACATGTTTTTTTTAATAATTTATGAATTTTATATGAATAGTATATAAATATTTCATTCCTTGCTTTTTTAAGTAAGATCACAACAAATTATGGAACTATTATTAACTATTCCTTGTTTTCTTTCCTCTTAATATATATAATAAGCATACAGATTTTAGCATAAAAAAATCAAAAAATAATAATGTATAATCAAAGGGAGTATTAAAAAAATTCTTTTTTTCCAATTTCCAATAATGCATATCAATTTTAAGCAAATTATAAAAAAAAAATATAATAATCATTAAGTATCGTGTAATTATAATACTTATGTTATTATAATTTATAATAATGGCATTATAATAATAAAAAATATATAATAAATATAATAATTAAGTAATAACAGTCTTATATTATAGTAATACTTATTTATTATACTTATAGTAAAATTATGTACGTATAGCCAAATTAAATTTTGAAAACACTTGTATTTTTACCAGTACATAAATAAATGCACAAAACTAAACATAATATCGTTAAACAGCTGATTTCAAATGGTGCTTAGCATATCAGCTTGGATTACAAAAAAATAATTTTCTGCTTCCTTAAGTCTGTGCTCTTTGAATGCCATAGCTATAAGCACAGAAACAATAAGAATGGAAGTCCCTATTGTATAATTAATTCCCATTCACCCATATTCACGGATTCAAATTGTGCATGCATATTTATGCTCGTGATTGCAGCTTGTGTAGTCAAACTATAGACTGATATTTATTTCATTTTGGCTAAATGCACTTAACGAGCTAATTTAGTATTCTTTTATCTTCAGGGGCTTGAATTTTAGATATTTATAACATTTGAGAGGTTTAAGGTGGTCTACTACAGCAGCATTACAATACTAAAAATTTGTTTACACGCAGAATCGCTAATTAAGAAACTATATTGCGTGAAATTTGGCAGAAATATAAAGCAATAGGTCAGTTTTGGAATCAAAATGTTAGAATCAGGTTTGGAATGAAATTTACTTAAATATTATATTTTAAAAAAATTAGTTTGAAATACGTAATTTTAATGTGTAGTTTGGAAAGCCATCAATAGATGGCGCTACGAGTTAAAATTTAACATTGTAATCTTATTTCTGCAAAAATTCACGAAGTAATTGATTTGATATCAGTTATAAATCATATTTTTCTAAATAAATTTAGAAAGCGTTTCATATATTCCTTTATACACAGTTTTCACTAAACATTGTCAGCTGTCAGCAGAATGACGTTTACGGCAACCCTATTGCATTGCTATTCCGCACTCGTTTTGTTTACATTTATTGTGTACTGTGGTCAGTTTGCAAAAAATATGCGAAAAATATCAAGGACGAACGAAAACACATCCTGGTTTTAATAAAAGATCCAGAATTCAGCGTAAACGTCGAGCTCAAGAAAAAAATATGAAATTAAATTCCCGAGATGTGGAAGATTCCGAACAAGCGGATGTTTTCGAAAGGTGAGAAATAATTTATTCTTTATATCGACTACCTTGTGTTTATGATTTCGTAGTAAGTTAATTCCGAAGTAAAATATGCGTATTTTTTTTTATTGAAGGTCAGAAATTATTAATACAACTGCATCTGTGTCAAAGGAGAATCATTGCCCGGATGATTTTTTTACAAAGTAAGTTTTTTTTTTTTTTTTTTTTTTTTTTTGTATGTGTGTGTATGAGGGATGGATGCTAATAATTGTTCAATTCTGTTAAAGAACATTTATTCCTCCATTCACACTAAATTGTTGGGAAATATTGAAAGGGTAAATTCCAATTCACAAGGAATTGCTGAAATAATTGAATCTTTTCAAAAGTATGAGCATGTTCTTGCAATCTAAATTGAATTCACCATCATTACGTGTATTATTGGAAATTTTATAGTCATATGTTTGCTACGAAATGCTTTGTCAGTTACCTATGGTATATTTTTACAGGTGTATGCACATTTATTCATGTGCTCGCTGTTCAACTTGCTTTTTTTTATTATGTCATTTACTTGGATGTTAAAACTTTCTTTTAGCGTTGGAACATTTTATGATCATTAGTAAAATTTATATATAAATATATATTATGCTTGTTTATTTATGGTTCTGTGTATTTGTCATGTATGCATGTTGTGAAGTGTAGTTTTTTGAAAAATATGTCACAAATGGTAAATTCCACCAAAAGCTGAATTGAATTGATATTGGGATGCAGGTAATTAGAAAAATATCTGCCGTGTATTTTGAGCGTAAACCAAACTAGTGCCAAGAATGGGACCAATACGCTCAGGCTTGCTTAGCCTTTTTGCCATTGTCCAAATTGAATTATCTCCAGTATAAAGGGAGTGAATGCTTTCTCTCTGTATAACAATAAAATATCTGTCTGATCAAAAATCTACCAATAAGAAACTTTTCATATGTTATGTGACAGACTTTCTGCAACAGAAGTCCTCAGCTCTGTTCTTGTACATGTTTTTTAATTGTGGTTCAGTGTACTTCTCAAAGAATTCTTCTCATAGGAAGATTATCTGAACATTTAAAAACTATATTCTGCTTTTAGGGGCCTAATATTTTAGGCCCCTAAAATTAATATTGAAATTTCTAAAATGTTGAAAATATGTCATCTGGATTCTGTGCAAAAAAATATAATCCCTTTTTCATTTCTGCATTTGCAATTCCTGCATTTTCTTTATTCCTACATTTTTTAATTGGAAGGAATTTCATTCGCAGAGCCCTCTAATTTATTCTTACAAATCATGTAGTAATGTACCATTTTAGATAGATATAAATAACACATTTTGTAATTTTTCTAAAACTATACAGCATGATATAATAGCTACACAGGGTATGGCGAAACAGTATACAGCAATCTGTCGCACTGTCTGAGATGGTGGTAGTCATACGTAGCTTAATGCTTAAATTTGTTATGTGTTATTTATTTATTCATGTTTTTTTTTTTTTTTATTTTATGTTATAGCAGTTTATTTCTTTCATTCTTAGGTCCGGAAGTGAAAAATTTGACTTTCTACGCCAGAAGTTACAGCTAATGTTCCTAAGACAAACCAGCTTTCCTGAGGTAAGTTGGTTTATTTTAAAATAGATATTAGCTGTGCATGATATTGAAACTCTTACAGCGACTTAATTATGGTTAACTAATTATGTTTAATTTAGAAGTCACGCAACCAAAATCAGCGTTATATTTTCAAATGTGAATATTTCAAAATATGATGCTGATTTTTGTTGGTTGACTCTCAAATTAATACTTGGTCGGTGTGTTATTGTATCTTAATTAAACTAATTATGGTTCTTTTCTTCTCAGTTCTGATCTGGACATTTCAGTTATTGACTCTGACGTAGAAGGTAGAAATACAAGCTCTCTTTTGGGTAAATATGTATTTCTCTATGCCAAAATTAAAATGTCATCATTTATGTTTTTTTTATGGTGTTACATTATGTTGTTTACATACTGATAGCTATTAAAACTGTTAAATATAATATTGTAGCTATCAAAAAGAGGGGGATGAATTTGATTTGTACCAAATTTGGGCGTTTTGCATGAAAGAACTTGAAAATAAAAGATTTTTTTAAAAATATATTCATTGAAATCAGTGAAATTTTCAGACGGGACACTGCCTTAGGATGAAATATTTTGGGGTTTGATGAAATATTTTGGGCCAAATGAAAATATTTTGGGGTTTGATTCTTTTGATGGGAGCCTCATCAATAAGCCTACTATCTTTTTTAAATATTGCTTCTTTTTCATTGTTTTCATGATGTTTTATGTTCCCTTCATAAAGAGATTTTTAATAATTTAAATTTTGTAATAAATATAACAAAATGAAATCTGTGATTATGTGGCTATTATTTTTTCCATATATATTTATTTGAGGAAAACCAAAAAATTTTATTATTTTACAGAATTTTTAAGAAAAAATATAAGGATAAAATTTTTTTAAATAATTCTGATTACTACCTTTGCTTTCCTCTCGTAATGTGCCTCAAATTAGAGCAATTAGACAACAAATTTAATTCATGTGATCTTTTTTTTTTTTCCCAAGTTCTTTTTTTAGGCTTAGGAGTATAAATTGCTCATCCCCACAAGACAGTTGCATCTTCTTAGTATGCCCTCCTAAGGCTCCGTTCAGATGGTGGTATAAATGTCATAGACGCATAATCATAAGGCACAAAATGTGGGAGTTCCATTCACACCTGCGAGAGAGGGTCTAAGCCATAGCCAATTAGAGAAGCTAAATTTGTGCATGCATGTATGTGTCTACAGCTTTCTCTCTCAATAGGCTTTATGTATATGCTCTGATTGGTTGACTGTTATATCAAGTCGGCACAAAGTTGAAAACTTCAAGCTTAATGCCCAAACTAGTTTTTGTGACATAGCAAGGTCTGACTACGAAGCGTTGTTAGTTGGGAATTATGACATTTATACAACGGCTTGAATAGAGCTTTAGAAAGCCATTTGGTAACTGAGTTATCCACCATGAAAGAGTTATTCTTGCCCCTCTGAATTCAGTGTTTACTGGAACACGAACATTTTATACTCAGGTGTAGAGGCCCTTCATGTGATGAAACCTCCGGCACACAAAGTACTGACTAATATTGCTTGAGCAAATGACACTGCGAAGCATGGAAACAACAGTTGTGAAGATGACTCATCTTCTTGTAGTAATATAGCTGGTAATCCAGTGTATTTTCATTGTTAATTTATTTGCTATCTGTTGCCTAAATTTTTCCTAAACCTAATTGCGAATGGGCTGCCTGCATGGGCGTTTTCATGGTTTTCCTCTTGTGTAACGTGTATATGAGTCATTTCTCCTTAGAAAGTCCTGCCATGAAAGCATCCCTCCTCTTCGGCAAGGTCGAAGTGCTTTGCTGTTATCAATAAACCAAATTTAAGCCTAATTTGTTGCCTAAACCTAATTTGTAATATTTATATATATTAATATATATATGTATATATATAGTGTGTGTATATATATATATATACATATATATGTATATATATATATATACTATATATGTCAATATAACGGAAAACACTGTAGATCGTGATGAGACCCATATTGAAGAACATTTTTGATTGCGCGTATGCTAGTAATGCTAACTTGGTAATATCTAAAGAACTTGGCAGTCGAAGCAGTTTTAATTCCATTTTATTTCCAATTGATATTTGTGGCCACAATCACTTGGCACTAGTCGTGCTTTCCACACAAGATTTACATTTTTATATATGTTAAGATAGAAAGCAAGCCAGCGAAATTACATCTTAGCAGAGCAGAGGGCAAAAGCTGAAGTGCGTAGTAGTTATGAAAGATGGAAGTATGTGAAGAGAAAGTTTTGGTTTACAATTCGGTGATTGGTTGTTAAGAGGCATCTGGTATTAACGGTTACGTAAGATCGCATGATTAATTGAATGACGCAATGCCAGATAAATTATTACGTTTTAGAATAGAGAGGAAGAATTAATGTTTATAGTTATATTATAATTCTGATTCATATATTTTTATCTTACATAATATATATATATATATTAGCTTGGAGTCTGAGCCTCTTCAGGAGACCTTAATGATGAATTTCTGTGTCCTGATTTACCTTTAATTATCGAAAGGCAATCCATTACCATCTGGCAGAACAATTTGCAATATGTCTTTTGTAATAGTGCAGGCTAGGACATTAGAGCGTATCATATATAATGATACGTTTCAAAACTAAAGCATTAAAGTATGGTTGGCTAACGAAGCAGTAGCCTTAAATCAATACAAGGAAAAGCATATGGGAAAAAACATCAGACGTTGTGGCCTTTTTATTGATCCTAAATTGCCCTTTCTTTGTACTTCGCCAGATGGATTGATAGACGAAGATGGATTACTTGAAATAAAATGTCCTTATACAGCCAGATTCTCAGCAGACTTGTCAGACTTTTTCAGCAAGCCTAATTCTGTTGGTCTTCGGATGGATGCTGATAATAATCTTTATTTACCGAAAGCCACAAATATTATTTCAAATTCAAAGGGCAGTTAGCCATAACAGAGAGATTTGGTGTGTGATTTATATATATGGTGCAGAGAAGATGCAATCACATTAAGAATACCCGAAGACAAAACTTTCGGATCAGTTTAGTTACAAAACTCGAAAAATTTTACGTGAATTGTATTCTTCCTGAGCTTGTTGATCCAAGAGCACCAAGAAAAATGTCTCTTAGAGAACCGAAGTATATTGTTGCTAGAGCACAGAATGAGAAACAAAACAGGCCACTGCTTCTGTAAAACAAACACAAGAAAAAAGAGAAATTGAAATTTCAGAAGCAGATAAAATTATTTCATCTCCTAGAAAGAATGCAGGAGAGAAAAAGAATCAGGAAACCAAAAATTATTTTTGATTGTAATCAGTAACAAGCCAAGCCAGCACACCGTAACATTTTCTATGTCTGAATAAAAACTATGCCTGCAACAAAGCATTATGATTAAATCCATACCTAATTAGAATATTACCATTTCTCTAAAAAAATATGTTCAAAAAGTCTCTGCTTTCAGTAATAGATACGTCTGATCAATTCTGCCATAATTCTGTAATCAATACTTGAAGCTAGAATCTCCTGTGCTGCACTACCATTGCATCTCTTTTCTGAATGTTTCATCATCCACTTCTCCTTTAGTTCACGGAGCAGGGAAGCCTAAAACTTACTTACTTACCCAGCCTGACATGTACACTGACAACGATGCAACCCAGGAGAATCAAGATAGATTCTGCTACACCAAACAAGTGGCTTGCATTAATCCTATCACAATTCAGGACTCCTGATTCAGCTGGAAGGACATCAATACAATGATATTTGAGAAGAAGATATACAAAATTGAGTATCGTGGAAAGATGATTGCTTATATCTTGAACGTGGATGATCCACTTGTCTACAAAACTCATAACCATGCTAAAAAATAAGAACATCAAATTTCAGTGCATCCTGCTCTCACAAGAGAGAAAGGTGATCATTAGAAGCCTTCCCAGCTCCACATGTTAATGCTGCCTCATGTTGCATAATATAATAATACACACACTGGCCAATCAATAAGAAACCTTTCAGATTTTCATCTGAATGCATGCTAGGGATGAAATATCCAAATTTTTTCTATGATGTGGATTATACTTGGTTAAAATGCCAGTATAAGTAAGGTGTAAGAGTGCTTTTCATGATGAATGAAGTAAAATGGGGAAAAAAAAGGCGGCAGATCGTTCACCATTTGAAAAAGGGGCTTATTGTTGGTGCACATTTAGTGGGGGCATCGATTTCGAATCCTTCTCTAAAAAATGTAACTGCAGTTCGAGCATAGTTTTCAAAGACAGTGATCGGCGGTATCTCCGATGAATTGTACGGCAGAACACGGATTCAACTATCACAAATCGTCAACCAAGGCTCTTCCCAACAAATTTCAGCTAGAACTATGCGCAGCGAATTGCAGAGCGATAGGAATGCATAGTTTTGGTGCCTGTAAGAAAATCGCTCAGTTCTGCCGACATGCAAGACTTCATTTTCAGTGGTGTCGAGAAAAGACACTGGACATCTGAGGATTGGAAATGGGTAATGTGGTGGGATATTACATTATGTATTACATATTAAACATAAGTTATGGGTTACCTCATAACTACAGAAGCTTCCTGTTTGCTGCCGGAAAAGGTTGAAGTAATCTGCAATGTAAATTACCGACAATACATAGCTTTGTTCATTTATGGGCATGATAAAATTTTATCGATGCTTTTTGAAAAATGCTGCAGAAACTCAAGGAGTCATACACGAAATGTTAAAGGGCGATAAAAAAAGATCATTGTAAAGTTCCATGCACAGATGAAGGTGGTTTAGTGTATTTAATTATGGCAAAGCACACTAGGGCTATCTGCCTAAGAGAAGGGATGCCTTCGTGGAGGACTTTCTAAGGGAAACTGGCTCATATACACGTTACACATGGGGAAAACCACGAAAACGCCCATGCAGCCAGTCCGTTCGCGGGATTCGAACCTCGGACCGAACTACCAGTGTTCAGCGATTTTACCGCTCGGCCGCTGGTAGGCCTGCACAGATGAAGGAATTCACCAGTTTGAGAAGTGCAAATCTGATTTAGTCAATGGTGCCCTTTTGTGTTTCCCAATGGATTACTCTTTGTGTGCAGATGCATCAGACTTTCCTATAGGATCAGTATTGCAGCAATTGGAAGAAGAACAAGACTGAAAACCTATTGTGTTCTACTCTAAAACATTAAATAATGCACAGAAGGTTTATAGTACCTATGACAGAGAAGTTCTTAGGAATATATCTTTCTGTCAAGCATTTTAAACATGTATCGGAAAGGACGCAAATTCCATCATACTTACTGATCACA